TGGGCTTCAGCTCTGCCTCTTGCTCCCAGCCCACTGAAGCTGGAGGCTTCTCTTCACTCAGGCAGCTGCTGGCTGCTGAGTCTAACAAACCCAAGGTTGACAAGTAAAATGGCACAGTCCAAAGATTATCAAACAATGCAACAGGCCACGAGTTCAAGTCCAGAGACAGTCCCAAGATCGCAGACAACGTGGCAGGCCACTCACTGATGACTCAGCCAAATGCAGGATCCAAGTGTGCCAAAAAGCTCAGAGGCATTTCTCAAAGCTTCTTATACACTGGAAGCATACCACATCCCTAAAGCAGCTACTCAGCTGCACACTGCAGATTCCATCATGGATTTGATTACCAGTCTTGTCATGGGGAATAACTACAACCAGCTGCTCAGCCATTCAAAACCAGACCCAACCAAGCTGACACATAACCTTACCTATCACAAATGGCAATGGGTTTTTTTAGACACTTAATGAGTAGTGGCAATAATTAATTTTTATTAGGTGCAGACGGCTTTATTTATTACTCCTAAAGCTTTATTCTATTTCTCTGAAATTTTCAAAGCACCAGATCACATAAATAATTTACATTAAAATGCTTTGGAATGTGGTAAGAGCTATAAATGCCTGTGAATTGCTTCTTTCCTCCAAAAAGCTGTTTTTTAGTGTTTCCTTGACAGCACTTTAACTATCTATCTTCCAGGAAGTTACTCCCTGAAAATGTCTGTTTTCTCATTTTATCCCTCCGGAGGCTAACAAGGGTATGTCTTTCCCCCTAATTCTCACTCACTGGCTTACAGGTGTGTATCTCTATTTTTCTCAATATACATCTTTTTCTCAGTAAGTCATTAAGTTATAGAACCTTCCAACCTGTATTCATAGAATGCAATGAATTTGAATCAGATGCGAAGAGGAAGGGGCTGAATGCAGGGAGTGATGGCTCACAGTGACCCTCATATGGCACCTGGGGGACTTATAGTCAAAGGGTGGGGAGCTAGGGGCAGGATGGGGGAATACCCCAGACTTTGTATGCAGATGACACTGTAGTACTTCTCACTAACCTCCTATTTCCTGAAACCAGCCCCTGTATTCTGAGAACTGAAACATTTAAAGAAAAGAAGTTTGAATTGTCCTGAGGAGTAGCCTACAAGGGACCAAGGAAAGGTGTAAATGAAATAAAAATGGCTAAAATCAGGCTTGGCTTATAGCAAAAACTCACTGCCATTGAGTTGATTCTGACTCAAATGGATTAATGACATGGTTTTGAAAAACTGCCCTGGCAGGAGTTTGTCACATGTTTTGAGCCTCTGCTCAATGGAGGAGATGGGGCAGGAAATTAGAGGTGGGCCAGGAGTCTATCGTTGTATCTTAGGCCTGAGACAGAGGGATGGCAGTGGGAGAGACAAAGAGTGAGGCTGGAGACCAGGGTTGCAGGACACAGGGACAACTGCTCTGCCATTCTCTTGGATAAAAAGGAGATTTACTTATTCTTAATTTTTTCCCTTCAGCACAGGTGAACAGGGAAGTTTGAGTTCCCTGCCCTTCTCCCCTGCTGCCCATATGCAACACTGATTTCCTGCAGAGCTGTGGCGGGGGGGGGGGGGGGGGGCGGAACTGGGGAGGAGGGTGGCTGCTGCTCAGGCTCAGGGTTGGTCTGGAGAACCTATATCCGGCTTAAGATACTTCTCTACCATTGGTACCCTCGTAGCATAAGGCAATCTCTAGAATGAAATGCCACATGTTTTGAGCCTCTGCTCTAAGGTTCAACAAGGAAAAGGTCTAGAGGTTCAGACAGGGAAGAAGAAGTTTCAAAGAACCAAGCAAGCTCTCCAGGAGTCATTTGGATAATTTAAGAGACCCTCATTTCCAAACCCTGGAGTGAATCCATGTTACTCCTCAGTCAGGAAGCCTTTGCCAGCTTATGAATTCTTCAAGGGCATGGACCAACTATGTCTTATTTAGCTTTTATCAGGCCTTACATTTAGTATGTGCTCCAAGGAGGCTGACTGTATGGGTGGATGAATTGCCCTTGTGGATTCAAGGCTGGGGAGGCTTAAGACCTACCATGACCCTGGGGCACTCCCAATTATCCCTGAAGCTTGGGGGGTGATATCCAGATGTCCTTGAGTTGGTGAGGGATTTTGCCTTAAGTGTCTATGGTAGTTAAGTTTATATGTCAAATTGGTTGGGCCTGGTTTTGAGTGGCTGGGCAGCTGGATGTAGTAATTCCTCATGGACTAGTAATATGTACACGTGGAATCTACTGGCAGCTGAGTAGCTGCTTAGGGATGTGGTCTGCTTGCAGTATATAAGAAGTTTTGAGAAGGATTTTGGCAGCTTTATGGCAGGCTTGGACCCTGCATGTAGCCCAGTGGTCTTCAGCAGCCTGCTGTGTTTCCTGTCGATCTTGGGACTGTCTCTGGCCTTGAACTAGTGGTCTGCTGTGTTGTTTGGTAATATTGGGACTGTGCCTTTTTTACTTGTCGACCTTGGGCTTATTAGCGGCCAGCAGCTGCCTGAGTGAAGAGATGCCTCTAGCTCCAGAGGGCCTGGAGCAAGAGGCAAAGGTAGAGGAGCTTTCACCCAGTCCTTACGGCTGGCACTTCTAGGCTCGTAAACTGTAAGAGAGTAGATCCCTGTTAGTTAAAGACATACATTTCTGGTATTTCCTGTTAGAGTGGCACTAGAGAGAACGGAAACAATGTCTTAACCACCTGTGTTCTCTAGACCAACACTAGACCAAGGGGTATCAGTCTATCAGGTTGAGCTCCCCTCTCCCAGGGCATTCACACTGTTGTGAGATTATTTTGACAGCTATAGCAGGGCAAAAGCTACACAAAGCCCAAGTCTGAGAGCCTCTTGGATAAATGTTTTCTTCAGCTCTTTTCAAGCAGAAAACTTTTCTAGTACTATAATTCATCAAAGTGAAACACCAGCAAAGGAGTCCTAGTGGCACGGTGGTTAAGTGCTTGGCTGCTAACTGATAGGTCAGTGGTTGAACCCACAAGCTGTTCCGCCAGAGGAAGATGTGGCAGCCTGCTTCTGTAAAGATTACAGTCTTGGAAACCCTATGGAGCAGTTCTAAGTTCTACTCTGTGCTTCAGGGTCACTATGAGTCAGAATCAACGAGACAGCAATGGCTTTAGTTTGGTTTAAACAGCCGCAACTGAAAGGGAATGCCCTGATTCCAGAGATGTGAAAACTTGGAAGAATGTGTGGCTTAAGATTGATGAGATGTGGTACACACCTAGAAAGGAAGGGTAAGAGAAGCTACTGTGCCTGTGTGTAAATTTAGGCAAGTTGAGCAAACAAAGGATAAGACAGAAACATCTGCCCAACTTCCTCTGGGCTGTGTAGAACACAGTCTTGGTTGCTGCATAGACTTCCCACCCAGATGTCCTGGACACTTGGGACCACTGCTGCTGTCACTAAAGTGCAGAGAACCAACTGAGAAAAAGCCTGTTTCTTGTGGCTAATGAGCTCTGGTGCCATTGTGGTTAAAGCATTCAGCAGCTAACCAAAAAGGTCAGCATTCCACTCTGTGAAAGAAAGATGAGGCAGGCTGCTTCCATAAAGATTTATAGCCTTGGAAACCCTGTGGGGCAGTTCTACTCAGTCCTAAAGGGTGATGAGAATTGATTCGATGGCAGTGGGTTTTTGGTGTTGTGGGTGTTCCTTGTGGCTATAACTGTCCTTGTATTCAAGGACTGCTGTATGACCACAATCCCAAGCAAAAGTAGAGATACGTGACACACTGGGACAACCTAATGACTGATGGGTCCTGTTTATCCACGTCTCCCAATATGCCCCTTTCCCTTCTCCATGGCTCAAGCCCTTTCTAAATCCCAAATAGGAATCCTGCACAAACTCTTCCTTCTCCAAAACTAGTTTCAGAAAAAGATCTAACAGAATATTTCAACTGAGTATGTAATGCTTAATGTTTTATGTGTTGGTTGCTTCGTGCCATTCTAACAGAAAATACCACAAATGGGATGGCTTTAACAAACAGGTTTATTTCCTTACAATTTGGAGGCTAAAAGTCCGAGTTCTAAGTGTCAGGCCCTAGGGGCTTGGTGAAAGCCCCTTGACCTTAGGCTTCCGCCTGCCTCTTGGTCCCGGCCCACTGAAGCTGGAAGCTTTCTTCATTCGGGCAGCTGCTGGCTGCAGAGGCTGACAAACCCAAAGTCAACAAGTAAAAAGGCACAGTCCCAATATTAACAAACCACACGGCAGGCCACTAATTCAAGTCCATCAAGAGTCCCAAGATCAGCAGGCAACATGGCAGGCTGCTGAACAATGACTCAGCTACATGCAGGATTCAAGGATGCCAAAAGCTAGAGACAATTCCCAAAGCTTCTCCTTACATACGGGAAGCAGACCACATCCCTAAAGCAGCTACTCAGCTGCTCGCAGCAGGTTCCACCATGGAGCTGATTGCATTCTCATCATGGGGAATAACTACCACCAGGTGCCCAGCCATTCAAAACCAGGCCCAGCCAAGTTGACATATAACCTTAACTATCACATACTACTTCTTACAGAACATTTGCATTATGACAAGGGGTGAGAAAATGACCTTTTGTCGAGCAGGGGATTGTTAATTATTGAATTTGAGGATGCTAAGGAGCTTCCTAATGTCTCTAAATCACACCTTGTCACTCGGAAATCAGCCCTTCTGAGGGAATTATTGTATACAAGCTTATTTTATTTTGAATACCCTCCCAGGCACAATGGCGTACAATTTATTAGTCTTAGCTTTTTATTATGGGATTTTTCAAACCTTTATAACAGCAGAGAGCAGAACAAACCTCAATGTACCCATCAACAAGCTCCAGCAGTTGTCATCATAGTCCAATCTTGGTTTATCTATCTCTCCGTCCTCCCCAACTATCATAAAATAAATCTCAGACATAGTATCTTTAGAAACCTATTTAAATGCCATCCTGAAGACAGTCAGTCCTTGAGTCAGTTTCCTCACAGTCCTATTTTGTCTCTTTCTTTTAATACAGATTCTAAATGGAATTTGGAGAAAATGGACTTCCAGGAACTGAAGTCAGAATTAACCGAGGTTCCTGCTTCCCGAATCCTGAAGGAAAGTACATCTGGCCATCCTAGGAGTAAAGACGGTGACACAGGTACAATGTTAGGTCTCTTCCCTTTTGTGCCCACATAGTTTTTATCCATGTCTGTTTCCAATTTTAAAGAGCTCTGGTGGTGTAGTGCTTCAGGCATTTGGCTGCTAATCAAAACCCACCAGCCACTCTGCAGAAGAAAGATGAAGCAGTCTGCTTCCACGAAGATTTATAGCCTTAGAAATCCAATGAGGATCCCTATGATTCAGAATCAAGTTTGGTTTTTTTTTTGGAATTCCATGTTTAGAATCAGTCAGTACACCCAGAGGGGCAAATGAACAACTTCCCTGTTAACAGAGGCAGGGGAGAGGGAGAGGACCAATATCCTTTCTTTGTTCCTTTTCCGGGGCAAGCTGGCAGTAAGTCAATCTTTCTCTGGCAAAGCTCTGTGTTATCACCATATGTGTATGCTGGCCTGGGCTGGGCTGCACTGGGCGGGGGAGAGGTGGGGGGTGGGGGTGGGGCGAGCAGATGAAACTAGTTAACTCTGACCTATGGTGACCCTATGTGTGCCACAGTAGAACCATGCTCCATAGAGTTTTCAATGGCTGGTGTTTTGGAAGTAGATCAGAAGGACTTTCTTCCAAGGCACCTCTGGGTAGATTTGAACTGTTAACATTTCGGTTTACAGCCGAGCATTGTAACCATCTGCACCACTCTGGGACTCTGGGAGAAGATGAAGGATGCGTTTATTTCAACAGCTTAATTGTCACATAGAATTAATTACCCCTGAAAATTACATTTTCCAGTGGATCCTTCATCCAAGTGTACAAGGTACATTGCCTCTGCACACACTGTTACACAAGGTTTTGTTTTGTTTTTTTTTTTTTTTGAACTTTGGGCATTTATAAAAAATGCAGTTTGGCTTCCTCCAAAGTGTTCCCTGAGAACCTGACCTTAAGACTAAAATTGTTGTTTTCAGAAACTGTGACTGTCAATGTTATTGACAGTTATTGCTAGCACTGAAGGACATGCACAGAGACAGGGTTACAAAATCTCCAATAGGATTCTCTGAGTTGGGAGAAGCAAGTCTCTACCTTATGTGAGGAGGTTGGAGTTGCCCATGAAACACAGATGTTTGTTGTGAGTCAGTTTAGATTTTACTCCAACTATCTTTTCATTAAATAATTTCTGAAATTATATTCAGATTTTATTTTATTAAAATGATGTCTGATACATGTAGCCCATTTCTAGGGCTTGAAAAACTTTTATAGAAAGGATTTTTATGATGGGTTTATTTTTTTCTCTATTATTTTAAAAATAATGAGCTAAATCGGGCATTGTTGTTGTAGGTTCCATCAAGTCGGTTCCAACTCATAGTAAACACATGTACAATGGAACGAAACGCTTCCCAGTCCTGTGCCACACTCTTCATCTTTGCTCTGTTTGAGCCTGTTGTTGTAACTAATGTGTCAATCCCTTGTTGAAGGTCTTCCTCTTTTGTACTGACCCTCTGCCTTACCAAGCTTGAGGCCCTTCTCCAGGGACTGGTCCATTCAGATAATGGGTCCAAAGTACTGAGATGAAGTCTTGCCATCCTCACTTCTAAGGAGCTTTCTGGCTGTACTTCCTCCAAGAGAGATTTGTTTGTTCTCCTGGCAGCCTATGGTATATTTGATATTCTTCACCAAGACCAAAATTCAAAGGCATCAATTCTTCTTTGGTCCTCTTTATTCATTGTGAAGATTTAGCATGCTTATTAGGTGATTGAAAACGCCATGGCTTGGGTCAGGTGCACCATAGTCCTCGAAGTGACATCTATGTTTTTTTTTTAACACTTTGAGGAGTTCTTTTGCAGCAGATTTGCCCAATGCAATACGTTGTTTGATTTCCCGACTGCTGCTTCTATGGGCATTGATGGTGGATCCAAGCAAATTAAAATCCTCGACAACTTCAATCTTTTCTCCGTTTATCATGATGCTGCTTATTGGTCCATTTGTGAGGATTTTTGTTTCCTTTATGTTGAGGTGCAATCCATACTGAAGACTATAGTCTCTAATTTTCACAAGTTAAGTGCTTCAAGTCTTCTTCACTTTTCAGCAGGCAAGGTTGTGTCATCTGCATATTGCAGGTTGTTAAAGAGTCTTCCTCCAATCTTGATGCCATGTTCTTCTTCATATAGTCCAGATTTTCGGATTATGTGCTCAGTATACAGACTGAATAAGTATGGTGAAAGGATATAACCCTGACACACACCTTTCCTGGTTTTAAACCAAGCAGTGTCTCCTTCTTTTGTTCCAATGACTACCTTTTGGTCTATGTACAGGTTCCTCATGGGCACAATTAAGTGCCCTGGAATCCCCACTCTTTGCAATGTTATCCATAATTTGTTATGATCCACACGGTCGAATGTTTTTGCATAGTCAATAAAAGACAGGTATACACCTTCTTGGTATTCTCTGTTTTCAGCCAAGATCCATTTAATATCAGCAATGATGTCACTCGTTCCATATCCTCTTCTGAATCCAGCTTGAATTTCTGGCAGTTCTCTATTAATGTATTGCTGCAACTGTTTTTGAATGATCTTCAGCAAAATTTTACTTATGTATGATATTAATGATATTATTTGATGATTTCCACATTCTGTTGGATCACCTTTCTTTGGAATGGACACAAATATGGATCTCTTCCAGTCGGTGACAGTCTTTCAAAATCTTGGCATAGACGAGTGATCACTTCCAGCATTGCATCCATTTGTTGGAACTTTTCAGTTAGTATTCCTTCAATTCCTGGAGTCTTATTTTCCACCAGTGCCCTCCGTGCAGCTTGGACTTCTTTCTTCAGTAGCAGAGATTCTTGATCATATGGTATGTTGACCAGTTCTTTTGGTACACTGACTCTGCATACATAGTCTTTCCATCTTCTTTTGATGCTTCCTGCAGCATTCCATTATTTTACCCATAGAATCCTTCATTAGTCCAACTCTAGGCTTGAATTTTTTCTTCAGTTCTTTCAGCCTGAGAAAGCCAAGCATGTTCTTCCCTTTTCACTTTCTAACTCCGGGTCTTTGCATATGTATTTATAATACTTTACTTTGTCTACTTGAGCCCCTCCTTGAATTCTTCTGTTTAGCTCTTTTACTCCATCATTCTTCCATTTGCTGACTGCTAACCAGAAGGCTGGAGGTTCAAACCCACCAGCCACTCCTCAGAAGGAAGGTTGGGTAGTCTACTTCCGTAGTGATACTGCCTTGGAAACCCAAGGAGGGGTCGTTATGAGTTGGGTCCGATTCAATGGCAAATAACAATAACAACACTTTACATTCAAGGGCAAGTTTCAGAATCTCTTCTCCCATTCATTTTAGTCTTTATTTTCTGTCTTTTCAATTACTTTTGTTTCATTCATGTATAATGTCTTTGATATCATCCCACAATTCGTCTGGTCTTTGGTCATTAGTTGTTCAGTGTGTCAAATCTATTCTTGAGATGGTCTCTAAATTCAGGTGGATATACTCAAGATCATACTTTAGCTCTCATGGACTTATTTTTATTTTCTTCAGCTTCAACTTGAACTTGTGTATGAGTAATTGATGTCTATTTCACAGTTGGCCGCTGGCTGATCATATTGAGCTTCTCCATTACCTCTTTCTGCAGATGCAGTCAATTTGATTTCTGTGTATTCTATCTGGCAAGGTCTGTGTGTATAGTTTCTGTTGATGTTATTGAAAAAAAGTATTTTCAATGAACAAGTCATTGGTCTTGCAAAATTCTATGATGCAATCTCTGACATCATTTCTATCACCAAGGCCATATTTTCCAACTACCCATCCTTCTTCTTTGTTCCAACTTTCCCATTCCAATCACCATTAATTATCAATACATCTTGATTGAATGTGCGATCAATTTCAGATTGCAGAAGTTGGTAAAAATTCAATTTCTTCATCTTTGGCATCAGTGATTGCTGCTTAAATTTGAATAATAGTCAGATACCCTTCAAGTGTATAGAAATTTTCTTATCGCAGCCAACATTGTACTTCAAGATAGATCTTGAAATTTCTTTTTCAAACGATGACTAGGATGCCATTTCTATTCAATTTGTCACTCCTGGCATGGTAGAAGACTGTATGGTTGTCATTCAAAATGGCCCAAACCAGTCCATTTCAGCTCACTAATGCCTAGGATATGAACCTTTATACATTCCATTTCCTTTTTGACTATTTCCAGTTTTCCTAGATTCATATTCTACATTCCACATTCCAATTATTAATGAATATTTGCAGCTGTTTCTTCCCATTTTGTGGCATATCTCATCAGCAGATGAATGTCCTGAAAGCTTTACTCCATGCATGCCATTAAGGTCAACTCTACTTTGAGGAGGCAGCTCTTCCCCAGTCCTAGTTTGAGTACCTTCCCACGTGAGGGGCTCATCTTCCAACACTGAATCAGACATTGTTCTGCTGCTATCCATGACATTTCACTGACCAGTTTTTTCAGAAGTAGATTGCCGAGTCTGTCTTCCCAGTCTATCTTAGTATGGAAGCTCCCTGAAATCTGTCCACCATCGGTGACCCTGCTGGTGGTATATACTGGTAAATACTGCTGGTAAAGCTTCCAGCATCAGAGGAACACCCAAGTCACCAAATTAGGACAAACTGACAGATGAGTGCCATACAACCAAACCAAATCCTCTGCCATTGAGTCAATTCCAACTCATAGTGACCCTACAGGACAGAGTAGAACTGCCCCTAGGGTTTATAAGGCTATAAATCTTTACAGAAGCAGATTGCCTCAACTTTCTCCCATGGAGTGGCTGGTGGGTTCACACTGCTGACCTTTTGATTTACAGCCAAATTCTTTAACCACTGCACCACCAGGGCTCCTGAATTCAGGCATACCAAACCAAAAAATCCACTGCCATTGAGTCAGTTCTGACTCATAATGACCTCCATTGACTTTCCAAGGCTGTAAATCTTTATAGAAGTAGATTGCCTTTTCTTCCTCCTGCAGAACAGCTGGTGAGTTTAAACTGCTGAACTCGGGTTAGCAGCCAAATGCCTTACCCACTACACACCACAGCTCCTTTGAAATCAGGCACAGAAGTCATGAAATGAGTAATATAATGAACACTGATGAGTCTACTGTCCAGTTGAAAGAACAATGTTATAAATATAGTTGAAGCCCAGTATACATCTTTCTGCTTTCCAACTGATACTGTGTAGATGGAGTTCAATTCATATCACATATTGAGCTAACATTTACTGGGCATTTACTCTGTACCAAGCATTTGTTGTTGTTGTTAGCTGTCATGGAGTCAGTTCCCAACTCATGGTGACCCTATGCACAGCCAAAAAAAAAATGCTTCCTGATCCCACACCATTCTTATGATAGGTAGAAAATCAGACCATTGTGATTCATTGGCTGATTTTTAGAGGTAGATTACCAAGCCTTTCTTCCTAGTCTTCCTTAGTCTGGAAACTCTGTTGAAACCTGTTCGACATCATAGCAATATGCAAGCTTCCACTGAGAGACAAGTGATGGCTATGCACGATGTGTATTTGTAGGATGTTGAACCTGGGTCTTCTACATGGAAGGCAAGAAATCTACCACTGAACCCTAATGTCCCTCTGTTTCAAATTTAAGTAAAACATCTATGATCCCATTTAATACAACAGTCCTATGCTATTTTTACAACACCCAAAATACTATTATTAGCTCCCTTTCACAAATGAGAAAACTGAGGCTTAGAGAGCTAAATTACTTTTTGAAAGTCACCCGACCATTGGTGGTAATGACTGTGTTTACATCCAGAGGGTCTTTCTCTGGGGCCCTTGCTTCTCCTTGCTCTGCCATACTTCCACATTGTCATGCTTTGTATCTGGGAAGATTACGGATAAATATATGTATATGTATATATATATATATGTGTGTGTGTGTATATATATATATGTATGTATGTATGTATCATTTTTCAATTCACCAGGATGTGGAGAGCTGGTTTGGGTAGGAGAGCCTATCACTCTGAGAAGAGCCGAAGCAATCACTGGCAAATATGGAGTGTGGATGAGAGACCCCAAGCCCACCTCCCCTCACACCCAGGAGACAACATGGAGAATCGACACGGTTGGCACAGACATCCACCAAGTTTTTGAGTATGACCTCCTCAGCCAATTTGTGCAGGGCTACCCTACCAAGGTACACATACTGCCCACACCACTAGAAAGCACGGGTGCTGTGGTATACGGGGGGAGCCTCTATTACCAGGGGTCTGGATCCAGGACTGTAATCAGGTATGAGCTGAGCACCGAGACAGTGAAAGCCAAGAAGGACATCCCTAGAGCGGGCTACCATGGGCAGTTCCCATATTCCTGGGGTGGCTACACAGACATTGACTTAGCTGTGGATGAGACAGGTCTCTGGGTCATCTACAGCACCGAGGCTGCCAAAGGAGCCATTGTCCTTTCCAAACTGAACCCAGAGAATCTGGAACTTGGGCAAACCTGGGAGACTAACATACGTAAACAATCAGTCGCCAATGCCTTCATCATCTGTGGCACCTTGTACACCGTCAGCAGCTATTCATCAGCTGATACTATGGTCAACTTTGCTTATGACACAGGCACAGGCAGCAGCAAGGCCCTGACCATCCCATTCAAGAACCACTACAAGTACAGCAGCATGATTGATTACAACCCACTGGAGAAGAAACTCTATGCCTGGGACAATTTCAACATGGTCATCTATGATATCAGGCTCTCCAAGATGTGACAGTGGTCCATGATGTACCAGGAAAGGCAGAAGGATATGACGTTCAGAGTTTTGAGGAAAAAGCAAGCTGAAGGGAGAGCTGGCCATCCAAAGCCCACACTGCTTTTCTCTGCTCTTCAAGTTCATTAATCCACAAGAATGTGCACTGTCACCATGACTGACTGTGTAAGAACAGTGATCTGAGCATTAGATGGTTCTATATTATAATAGTCTTCTACCAGCTTTTCAAGGGATGTTTAACCAAAATAGTTTCTTAGGTCTTCTGGTGATTTGGGGTAAATGCTCTAATGCATACATGGTAGCTTCTTTATGAAAATCATACAGCTTTTTCTACATGGCCCTCACTGGCTGAAAAAAGGGTATGTTTGGTGAAGAGTTTGGGAGAAACAGGTTGTCCTACGTGGAATCTGGGGTCATTTCTTGTTCTTCTTTCTTCTTGTGTGGTTACCATAAGCCACAATAAAAAACAGCGCTTCCCTTGGAAGAGAAACTGCTCTTGTGGCCAGCACTGAACATACTTAAGATTAGTTTACTACGCTTGGCTTCTAATGCTTCTGGTAGACACCAGCTGGATATTACATAACACTTTGTTGTGAAATAAACTTATCTTACAAAACATTCTTATCCTCGAATGTGGTGGTTACTTTGCACAAGAGCAGAGCACAAATTTCAACCATCAGATAATTCCTTTGGCTTGGGAGCTGTGATTATAGATGCTAAAGGGGTGTAGGGATGTGTGTGTGTGTGTGTTTGTAAAACTGAGAGGCTGGTGCCTGGTTTTGAGAGGCTGCCTAGGGTGAGGATGACACCAAGGCAAAACAGTGGACTCTGCATCCCCATCTCCTGGCACCACTTAGTTCTTCCTGAATAATCTTTCTATCTTTCCCCAGCTCACCCCATCTTTACCCTAGCTCCACTTTGGTTCTTATCTACTGTCATGGGTATAAATTCTACAACCTCAGGTGAACAAACTTCATGGTATTATTTTTCTATCATTGAACTTAATTGCTATCTTGAGCTGCCTCTGTACCTCATGATAGAAAACTTTATCTTGCAAATTCAGCTGGGACTCCAACCCATCAGTGTGTTGTCAATTCTGTTTGAGGTGGTGTCTGTTCTTGGGAAGAGTGAGGGTCAGAGGCTCATGTGGCATTCTGGAGCAGATGGGGTGGCCTCCAGTTAGAGTCTATCTTATGTGCTAGGTGCATTTACATTTCATCTCACATCTGGTTTTTGTCGTCATTGCAGATTCCAGCATTTTCTGCTGACGTCTATGTCTCCATACCCACTTTACACGTCTGGCATCTTCCATGTTCTGATGATCAGATACTTCAGGGGTGCTGCTTTTGCCTAGCCTGTTTTATGTTCCCCCAAGGGGTGCAGGAACATTTCAGGAGACTGTTGACACTATAGGAAACTCTGGGAGATCAGGCCCTCTCTTCCTAGGCTAATCTCAGGACCCTCTTTCCTGTGCTAATGCTTCACCCTGCTATTATGGGGCCACATCTTAAGGAGGTATGCTCACCTATGTGGTCTTTACCTGGAAGCAAGTACAAGCCTCCTTTGCTTTCACATCTACCAAACTACCTGGGACACAAAGGCCTGTTAGGTAGTTCCTAGCAGTTGAGCTCTCTTTTTCTCTCTGAATGAAGTTCCCTCTCTTTCCCAGACTTTATCCAGATTGCAGAGATAGAAGAGTCTAGGCACAGTGCTATGAAAGTTGTTAATTTTTAGCTTTTATTTTGAAAATTTTCAAACCTTCACCAAAGTAGAGAGAACAGAATGAATCCCAACGTACCCATCACTTAGCTTCAACAGTTACTGGTGTTGACCAATATTGTTTTCTCTCACTTTCCTTCACTTCCCCCCTAACCTCCATTATTTTCAAGCAAATCTCAAAGAAACTCATTTAATAGGACCAGGACTAAGATTTCCAAGAAAACCAACTCCTGAAAGTCAAAACCTTGGTGTTAAAGTCATCCTCCCTACCATGGGTTCTAAAGAGTACACTTTGGAATGCAAAGCCAATAACTTGACTTTTATCATGGGATTCAATCATCATTTAGGCAATGCATGCCATGAGTCAATAGGAGAGGATGAGAAGCAAAACCTTGGCAAAAACAAAAACAATTGCCATTGAATTGACTCCAACTCATGATGAACCCATGTGTGTCATACTAGAATCTTGCTCCATGTGGTTTTCAATGGCTGGTTTTTTGGAAGCAGATAACCAGGCCTCTTTTCTGAGGCACATTTGGGTGGATTTCAACCACCAAATTTCAGGTAGCAGTTGAGTGTGTTAACATTTTGTATCACCCAAGGACTCTGAACCATTGGCCAAAACCAAAAAACCAAACTCACTGCCTCGAGTCAATTTGGACTCACAGCGACCCCCATTGGGTTTCCAAGGTGGTAAATCTTTATGGAAGTAGATTGCCCCATCTCCCTTCCACAGAGTGGCTGGGGGGTTTGAACCACCAACCTTCAGGTTAACAGTCCAATGCCTTAGGCACTACAAATCCTTGGCAGAGACCTTAAAATGTCTATCTACCAGATAGTACCACTCTTTCACATTGATAGCCAACTCTTATAGCCTAAAAAACCCAGAAGACAGAGTGCATACATTCATGCACCCTATTAGGCACTTTTAGCTGCCAGGTGCTTAAATGAAAAGTACCAGGTAAGGGTACACCTTTGGGTGATGAAATCAGCAGTCACAGTGTGTACACACAGGTAAGGCAAATTCTGCTACACACCCTGCCCATGACTCCTTTTCTCTCCTTCCACTAGCTACTACTTCAAAGTGGGTTTAGGATGGAAGATGAGAGTGTAGGAAGAAGGGACAGAGGGACAAAGGAAACTCTTCATTTTAGCTTCCAGGATATTAGACTCCTTATACACTGGCTGCCCCTTCTTGGTTCCTTTCGCTGGTTCCTCCTTAAAACTCTAGGCTGTTAAGATTGAAGTGTTCCAGGGGTAAGCTCTTTAACAACTCATTGATATCGTGATCTCATCTAGTGTCATGGTTTTAAAGATCATCTAAATGCTGATGACCACATTTGTGTCTCCAGCCCAGACATTAACCTGAATTTGATTCATATATGTGTTTGCCCACTTGACATCTCCACCTGGATTCTTATTAGACATATCAGACAATAAAAAAAATGAATTTCTGAGTATCTCCACCCCATCCCTGGTGGTGCATGAAATCTATTCTTGGATCTGAATGAAACTCCATCAGCAAATCCTTTTTCAAATACCTATATCCAGAAACTGAGCACATTTCTCATCACCTTTACTGCTACTACACTGTTTCAAATGACCATCATCTTTTTCTGAATGACTGTAGTGACCTCTGAACTGCTTCTTCCCCCACCCACATACAGCCTATTCTCCAGACAGCAGCCATAGCCATGTTAATAAAACACAAGGCAGGTTACCCCTCTCCCCTCTAGGGCTTCCCATCTCACTACAAGTCAAATCAAAATTCTTACAAGGCCCTGCATGATCTATCTCTTCCCCCATCACTATGACTTCATCTTCTCTAGTGTCCTTGGCTCACTCTGTTCTCTCTGGCAAAGCTTTTCTTTGCTCTCTCTCTGATACAACAGACACACTTTTGCCTTAAGGTCTTTGCACTGGCTCTTCTCCCTGCCCAGATATCCACACACTAACACCATTACTGTCTTCAAGTCTTTGCTGAGTTAAATGTTTCTTTTTAATGAGAACTGCCCAGATCACCCTTTTTAAAATTTCAACCAACCTGATGCTTCCTTTGGCACTTCTAATCTCCATTATTCTATTTTATTATTTTAAAATCTTTTATATTACACTTACCATTTCCTGATACACAATATGATTCACTATTTTTAAATTGTTCTTTTTGCACTGGAGTGTAAACTCCATGAGGGTAAGGGTTGATTATTTTGTTCAGTGGGTATATCTATCCCTAGAATAATGCCAAGCTCACACAGTAAGTGTTCTCTATTTGTTGAACGAACATCTGGAACTTGCTCAGAAGCAAAGCTGGAAATAAAAATGCCCCAAGAATGAGTCCTTCCCACCCTTTCCCGTCCTTGAGTCTACCCTTTACTGACTCTGAGAGGTTGGACAAGTCACTTAATCCCTGTCCCAGCACATCTAATAGGACTTCTGCAATGATGGGCATATTCTGTATCTCTGCTATCTAGCAAGGTAGCCACTAGCTATATATAGCTGCTGAGCACTTGCAATGTAGCTAATGCAACTGAGAAACTGAATTTATTTCATTTTAATGAATTTTAATTTAAGTAACCACATGTGGCTAGTGGCTACCCTATTGGGCAGTGCAAGTCTGTTCCTTCATCTGAGGATCGGATGATGTTGTGTCAACCAAGCTGGCAGTAACAGGTGTTCAGTACACGCTCTCTCACTGCCTCAGGCTGCTGCAGAGCACAGGTAAGAAACCTGATTCCAAACCCACAGTACAACTCACTGACTCTTTGTGGGTAAGAGGGCTGAACCACATTTTTAAGGGCAGGCCTAGAGAAAGAATACCCCCCAGGACTCTGAGAACTTAGATGATGTAACAAATAACATGTAAGGGCTTTTCCCACACACGTGTATTTGACTTTTTGCATTTTCAAGGCTTTCAAACTCTTCAGAAGAGGCCTGGAGGTCTTTTTAAGTGCTTTGGTGTCAACTGAAAGGCCTATATGGTAACCCAAACAGTACACTTCTCCTCCCCAACCAAATCACCATGTACTTGGCTGCTTTTCGTATTAGGGTTCTTCTGTTACAGGGTTTGAAAATCACTTCAATCTCTGAGAAGCAAACTTTGAAAGCATTGTCCATCAATGTAAAAGTCAACCACCCCTCATGCTGACATGGGGGTGGGGATGCAGTGCAGTTAAACTAGTATAAAAGAATCATAAACCTGTAGTGTCCAGGGCTGGGTTTTGAAAATCCAAAAACCTCAGCTTCCTCTGGATCACAAATCTTTAGACTCAGAGTCTAAAGGG